AAAAAATTCCCAAAAACTCTCACCGTGTATCCCGACGCCGACGCTGCTCCCGGTGGCCTCGTGCTGGGCCCGGCACTCGAACGTCCCGTCCTTGGCCTCCTCCTCTCCCAAGGTGACCCTGGAGCTCATCCCGTAGGATCCGGATCCCACCTGAACCTCCTGGAAATTCCGGGAGCCGAATCCCGACCCCAAATTCGATCCCAAACCTTCCCAGGAAAGGGTCAAAGGGGGAGGGAAGAAGTTGGAGGCGAAGCAGCCGAAGGTGACGTTGGGGCCGGAGCAGGACTCGGAATTCCCGGAGCAGGACAGGAGGGAATAAACTGACGGAGGGTTGGGTTTGGCTGAGGGAAAAAGAGGGAAAAAATTGGGTTAAAATCGGGTTATTTTGACACTTTTTTTCGCCCCCAAATTTTGCCATTTTTTGCCATTTTTTCCCCATTTTTTGCCATTTTTTCCCCATTTTTTGCCATTTTTTTCCCCAATTTTTGCCATTTTTTCCCCCAAATTTTGCCTTTTTTTCCCCCAATTTTACACCAAATTTTGCCTTTTTCCCCCCAATTTTCACCCAAATTTTCCTGAATTTCTCCCCAAATTTTGCCACTTTTTTCCCCAATTTCCCCTCAAATTTTCCCAAATTTTCCCAGATTTCCCCCAATTTTTGCCACTTTTTCCGCAATTTTTCACCCCAAATTTTCCCTTTTTTTCCCCCAAAATTCCCCCAAATTTTGCCATTTTTTCCTAATTTTGCCCCCCAAATTCCCCCAAATTTTGCCCTTTTCTGCCCATTTTTTCCACAAATTTTGCCATTTTTCCTCCAATTTTTGCCATTTTTCCCCAATTTTTCCCACAAATTTTACGAATTTTCCCCCTAAATTTTCCCTTTTTTTCCCCAATGTAATACCAAATTTTCCCAAATTTCCCCCAAAATTCTGTCCTTTTTTCCCCCTTTTTTCCCATAATTCCCCCAAATTTTGCCCTTTTTTCCCCAATTTTACACCAAATTTTGCCATTTTTTCCCAATTTTCCACCCAAATTTTCCCGAGTTTTGCACATTTTTTCTCCCAATTTCACACCAAATTTTGCCTTTTTTCCCCAAAATGTTGCCCTTTTCCCCCCAATTTTACACCAAAATTTTGCCATTTTTTCCTCCAATTTTTTCCCCAAATTTTCCCCGAATTTCCCCCAAATTTTCCCGAATTTCCCCCAAATTTTGCCTTTTTTTCCCCAATTTTACACCAAATTTTGCCACTTCGGGGAAATTTGGGGGGAAATTTGGGAAAATTTGGGGGGAAATTTGGGGGGAAAATGGCAAAATTTGGGGCCGAAAATTAGGGAAAATTTGGGTGGAAATTTGGGGGAAAAAAGGGGGAAAAAGGGCAAAATTTGGGGGGAAAAAAAGGGGGGAAAAAGGGGCAAAATTTGGGGGGAAAATGGGAGAAATTTGGGGGAAAAAAATTGGGAGGAAATTTGAAGGAAATTTTGGGGGAAATTCGGGGGAATTTGGGAGGAATCTCTGAGATCTGGGAGAGAGGAACGACCTAAAACCCGCTTAAAACCCACCTAAAATCATTCAAAAACACCCCAAAAAAACAACCAAGAAAAAACAACGGGGAAAAATGGGCTTAAACTTGGCTTAATCGGGGTTTAGGCTCAGCCTGGGAAAAGAGGAACCCCCCAAAAACCCCAAAATCCGCCCCAGACGCAACAGGAAGTTCACGGCGGGGTCGCGGTTTCGGGGTTTCGGGGCCCGTTTTTGGGGGTCGAGCCTAAAATCTGGGGGGTTTTGGGGTCGTTTCGGATTTTTGGGGGGAGAAGGGGAGAGGAGAGAAGTTAAGCTCGGCTCCAAGGTGGGTTTTGGGGGGGATTTTTGGAGATTTGGGCTCGGTTTTAAAGGGTTTCTTCGGCTTAAGTTTGGCTTAAGGTGAGTTTTGGGGGATTTTAGGGGATTTTTGGAGATTTAAGCTCGGTTTTAAGGTGGGGTTTGGGGTTAATTTGGGGGATTTGGGGGGGATTTTTGGAGATTTAAGCTCGGTTTTAAGGTGGGGGTTTGGGTTAATTTGGGGGATTTTGGGGCAATTTTTTGACATTTAGGCTCCATTTTACAGAAGGTTCCTTGACTTAAGTTCAGTTTTAGGATGGGTTTGGGGTTACTTTTGGGGCATTTTGGGGCGTTTTTAAAATTTAGGCTCAGTTTTAGGGGGGTCTTCAACCTAAGCTCGATTTTAAGGTGAGTTTTGGGGTTAATTTGGGGCATTTTGGGTGATTTTTAAACTTTAGGCTCAGT